TAGACACCTCCTATATATTTTAAGATGAAAGAAATGCCTTGAATGACATGAAGGAAATAGATAATAAAATAAATTTCCTTTTGGGTGAACTGCTGCTTTAAGTAAAGTTTTAGTGTTTACTTTACAAATGCTGTTAAGGACAGCATAATAGCCACGGCAGCACAAAGGACCTGTCCTCCTGACAAACCAAAAGGAGCAACACTGACAGAAGAACAAAAGGAAGAGACGAATGGGATGGAAACAATGGTATGATAACTGCCCTGGCTTTAAAGAATAGAGACTAGAGCCAATTTTTGGGGTGCAATCAGAGGTAGCGCAGCCAAAACATGACAGAATCTTACAGAAAGAGAGAACGAGAAGACAAACAGGAACCGCAAAAGACATTTTTAAAGATGAATGGAATGAGGCACATGGGGACTTGTGGGAGCAAGACAACAAAAATGAAAGACAGGCAAAGATGAAAAAAAAACTGTTGTCCCAAATATGACAACTAAACTATAAACAGTCAACATGAGTAAGCAGAACTATAACACGTCATTTCCCTATGAAAGAAAGAAGGGAAGAAAAAAACAAATAAAGAAAGAAAGAGGGATAATGTCTCATAGAGTGTCTGACTTAAGGAGCCAGAAAATGTTTGTTAGAAAAAAATTTGCATTGTATTGAATTAAACGGCTTCATTTCTGAAGCCACAGACACCACCAGAGATATAAATGTTTAATTACAGAACTTATAAAAAATTAAGACATATTGAAATCTCTCAGTGCAGCCTCACATCATAATTCACGGTGCATATTTTGCACATTAATCTTTCTAATGGCTACATCTCTGCATTTGGTTTATTCACACGAAATGCTGCAGTTTCCCCTCATTCATTATTCCTAAATATCTGAAATTCATACGATGACACATTTTACACATCAAAACTGTCAGAGAGTTTTCCCCGCTCTCAGCAGAATCCTCGGCGTAAACCAGTTAGACCCCAAATTGTGCAAGTTGTTGAATATCCAATATAATTGTGTATACCTTCAAGGACAACACCATCTCCTCAGTCCTCTGTCTGTTTGACAAGCCAGTTTAAATAATTCCTGCAGGTTGCTGCCTCGCTCTCTCCACCTGGAGAGGACGCAAATATATTCATGTCGCACGCCGCCCTATTGATTCCCCGGCTGCACAGGAATTAAAGGGCACACCACACAAATCATCATTAAATAAATATTCACACATTTACAGCCCCCAGACCACAGTACATCCGTGCGAAAACCCTCTTTATCTCGGCTAATTTGAATTTGGGGATGCGGTAACATGCCTGGTCAAATTAAAGCATCAGAGATACATGACACACACTAAACGCCCTCACACACACACGCACCTCGAGTGCTCTCAAAATGTGATTAATGCCCGAGATTTGGTCCTTGAGGAGAATAAACAGAAAAACATTAGTCAGGCGTGAAACAACAAATACATAGCTTGAGCACCTGTCCTTTTTTCTATTACATTTTTCCTCTCATCTCCGCATCACTGTCTTTCTCTTCCCCTGCTGCGCCTTTCGTCTGCGGACTGGCAGCATATATAATCCCTCCGTAATGGACGTTTAATATTTACACGTTTGGTGTAATCACTTAAATGCCTGTTTTACCACGGCCTTGTTTGGGTAGTTGGAGGGCATCTGACAGCCTATTCATCACAAAGTGAGCGTGCGGAACCTCTCGCCCCCCTTAACAATCAATCAACCGACAACTCCAACCCCCTCACACACACACACACACGCACACACACTGCTGCAGATACAGCCTGTCTTACCAAGTATAATCACTTCTGTTTGCATAACCCCCCACCGCACACACACACACTCACACACAAACCACAGAACGATACCTATTAGTCCATCATCTGAAAGGCCCTACCTGTGAATAGCTCCATAGGCTCCAGGGATTAATCTTTAGCCCTTCAGACTCATGGCAGCTCTATGCATTTAGAAAGCCTCCATTGGCTCAGGTAATGGGATGTGGACTTTACACTGAAATACATCTAATCATAAGGTTAGCTTTTGATTTCCTTTGAAAGGATTCAGCCGATGCTGAATTACCTTGGCTGCTGGAGAGAATGCGAATCAAGCGTTTATTGGATGGCTTTGGTTGCACTCTTTCCAAAAATCGCTTTGAGCTTTTCTTGGTCACTGTATAAAGAGAGGGGAAATAAATCAATGGCTTTAGGGGGGCTGATATAAAGGGGCGTTTATGAACAGATTGATTTGAAAAAGTTTATATTAATGCATGTAAATATACCCATGCCAAATCAATAAATGAATTTAACAAGGAATAGAGAGTTCAAATCTGAAGGTTAAAAGAAAGAATTCATTTGCTCACTTTTGTGGTGATCTTAAAGGGATAGTTCATCCATAATGTATGTTCTTTCTTCATTTACTCAGCCTTCAGTTGTTCAAAACCTATTTGAGCTTGTTCCTTCTGTTAAACACAAAATAAGATATTTTGAAGAATGCTTGTAGCTGGTACGCATGCATCAACTTTTGTACACTATAAAAAAAATGATATGATGAATTATATGCATATGTGTTTCGATCATTCCAACTTCATTTCTTCATTTTCTTGTCGGTTTAGTCCCTTTATTAATCCGGGGTCGCCACAGCAGAATGAACCGCCAACTTATGCAGCAAGTTTTTACGCAGCGGATGCCCTTCCAGCCGCAACCCATCTCTGGGAAACATCCACACACACATTCACGCACACACTCATACAGTACAGACAATTTAGCCTACCCAATTCACCTGTACCACATGTCTTTGGACTGTAGGGGAAACCGGAGCACCTGGAGGAAAGCCCACGCGAAGGCAGGGAGAACATGCAAACTGCACACAGAAACACCAACTGAGCTGAGGTTCGAACCAGCGACCCAGCAACCTTCTTGCTGTGAGGCGACAGCACTACCCACTGCGCCACTGCCTCGCCTCATTGTAACTTATTAAACGAAATTAATCATGTTCTAATTTATTTTTTATAAGTTATGCAAGCTGTTTTAAGTCAGTTTAACATAATATGTTTAATGGACTCATAAGGTTAATTTGATTCAGCTGAAACATTTAAGGCAACCAGGACTTTTTGACAGTGTAGTAATTTTTATTCCTACTATGGATGGATGGGTGCCAACCACCAGCTATCTTCAAAATTTCCTATTTTGCATTCAACAGAAGAAAGGTTTAAAACATATATACAGTAAATTATGAAGTCATTTTCATATTTTTGTGAACTATTGTAAATACAGAAAACATTGATATTTTTAACAGTATCTCTTTTTTTACAGGAAAAAGTCATCCTTGTGTGGAACAGTTAACGGAACTAATAGTGTATAAACTTCAATACTTTCAATAATGTTGAATAATCATTTCAAGTTCAGATGAAATGGTTGCAAGGTTTAGGTCATACAAAATACTGTAATTATTTCTGTATTACTATCTTTCTGTATCATACGGTCAATTATTTTGACCAAAATGCAGGAACTATTCCTTTACAGAAAGTAGCATCATTATACATATGCATAATTAATTCAATTTTTACAGAAGAAAAAAAAACATCTCTAGAAATGAAAAATGTTTCTTGGATTAATTAGATTAATGGAGTGAATAGGTGTATATATGCTGCCCCCTGTTGGAAAATTAATGAGGGTCTTGAATTTTTAGTCTGTATCCTAAATGTATTTCTGAAAAACATGCACACACAGTCTTGTCCGATGGAGTAGGTTTTTTTTTTGCGTTAAATTAAACACAATTATCATTATAAATCAACAATTTTAAATTAAAGGCATACATTATGTATGGCACACTTCCAAAGATATTGGGATCTCAATATGAAATGTTACTCCAAATGTATTTTGTTCAACTCCAGCAAAATCCATTGAATTTATCCAGTCTCAGACTCATAAATTATCTTTTTTAAAGTGTGCATAGAAGGTCTCTAGAGGTATTAAATATATCTCAATGTAATTTTAGGCTCTGCTCCTTAGAAAACTTTTCTTTTGGAGTCTTGAATTTTGAAGGCCACAGGGTTCAGACCCAGAAATACTGAATATTTTAGGTCCTTAAAAAAGGATATTCAAAAGAAAATGTGATATTGAAAAGTACAATCAGATATCTTTAAAGATAAAAAAAAGTTATTTATTACGGAAGGAAGATGTTAAAATTATTACACAGATGTACTTTTAATTTCCCAGTACTGAGTTATGGCTGGAAAGGCATTCGCTGCATAAAACATATGCCAGAATAGATGGTGGTTCATTCCCCTGTGGCGACCCCTGATAAAAAAGGGACTAAGCCGAAGGAAAATGAATAAATGAATAAAAAATGAATGAAAAAATGGTTTAAAAAGTATATTTATGACAAGTACGCTAATTAGCAAGTAAGTTGTTTTGCTAGAGTGACAAAACCTACTTAGCTTGTCGGCATCGTGCTTTCTGCACCTCACTAAAGCTAAGCAGGGCTCCACCTGGTTAGTACCTGGATGGGAGACCACATGGGAAACTAGGTTGCTGTCAGAAGAGGTGTTAGAGAGGCCAGCAGGGGGTGCTCAACCTCTGGTCTGTGTGGGTCCTAATACCCCAGTATAGTGATGCTGAACAGTGTCACTAAACATCTTGTCCACTGGCTAACGAAAGAGACATTAAAGCAAGGGCCTGACTCTCTGTGGTCATATAAAACATTGGATATCCTTCGGAAAGAGTAGGGATGGCCATCACGGCCTACTAACCATCCTCAGATCATAATTGGCTTCATCACTCTCCTCACTTCATCACGTCTCCTCTCCTGACTGCCCCCATTTTTGTCCAGAAAAGCCCTAAACATTTATTGAATAACTATTATTATTATTTATTACTAAATTTTTGGCGGTTCATTCCGCTGTGGCAATCCCTGATAAATAAAGGACTGAGCTAAAGGAAAACAAATGAATGAATAAATGACTTTTATTTAAAACTTTTAAGTAACTTTTAAGGATGTGAAGAGAATTTAATATCTATTTGAAATATTTCCATATTGCTCTAAATGTGCAAGTTATCCAATAGTATATTTACTTATTCATTCATTTTCTTTTCGGCTTAGTCTCTTTATTAATCCGGGGCCAACACAGCGGAAAAAAACACCAAATCTGCTGCTCCGCTGCTAGCGACCTTCTTGCTGTGAGGAGACAGCACTACCTACTGTACCACCGCATTTCCTCCCATAGTATTAATTACTCAAATTGTTGCTATTTTAAATGCCAATTTTGGCAACAGCTTGTCCCCTTAAACTCTCATTTTATGGAAAAATTACAGTGTAGACATTCTGCTAAATCTCTTCTTTTGTAATTTATGCCAGGGAAAAAATATTTAAAATTATTTGAAATATTTGCATTTTGCAAATTTTGGAAAACACAAAGATGTTCTGGTTGATTTGACACTGAATAACCCAGTAGAAATGCCTGTACATGCAATGGGACAATCTGAGTTTTGTCAGTGCTAAGGGTGCGGTTGTGTGATTTCACTTTTTCACTCTCTCTTGCTTCATCGGACCATGACATGTTCATTCCCACACTTGTCACTGTTGGGAAAAAGTTGCTCTAACACGCTATGATATGAAGTGCAGTGCAGACATTGCACAGGTATGTTTTAATCTCCCATGGCCCTTGCACCCTGTTATTAAGCCCTCTATATTTCCTTATTACTCTCTCCACAAAGGTTTTGGGTGTAGGAGGATTTACTTTTCATCATTAACTTCAATTTCAATATTTGCATTGGAACCAAGAAGACATTTCATAACAACATCATGGCATGTTATTAGTTTTAGCACGGAGACATTAATCTTCTTACATAAACATAAATCGGTTGGCGGGTTTAGTTTTTTGTCACCTACTAAATTCAAATTTTTATGATGGGGTCATTTGGGCAAAGTTTTCTGGCCGTCTGCCTATGAATTTCTGAATGGAGCTTTGTAGATGGAGATTTCTGAAAGCAATTAGTCAAAATAACTGTCAACTCCCATCAAACTCTACCACAAATATTTCTGCCTGTGTTTTTTTTTTCCTGCATGCATTGCAAGGGCAAGATAGGGACACGCCTGTGTTTGTCAAGCAGGTGTTTGTGTGTCTGCGAGTGTTTCTGTCATTCAACCACCACACTTTGTTCATCTGAAGCGGAGAAGCAGCAAACCCTAAATACTTCAGCAGCAGCATCAAACTAGCAGGTAACTGTCAGGTACTTATTAACTAGCTTGTGTTAAGCTTCATGCATGCTAAAAACATAAAGAGTATAAATGGTGAAAAGTCTTGTTGCTTGTGCTTGGCGGTGCATGTCTTAAATTCTCAGCTCACTGCATCACTGTTCGCCTCTGCTAACGGTTTAGTTCTCTGAGCCATATGGAGCTGCAAGTGTCTTGCCTATTCTGCCATGTTGTCATGCCTGTTATCAGAGATCTTTTTAGGCTTTGCTAAAACTTTAGAACAAGGATCCTCAAGTATGTTCAATGAGATCAACTTTCCTACAGCATTTAGCTCTAACTCTAATCAAACACATCTATCTAGGTTGGAGCTAAACTCCCAAAGACCTTCTAGGGTGTAAGTTATGAGCAACCCTGCTTTAGAAAACACTCATCTGTTTACCTGCCCGCTCAGTCATGATTGGTGCGTAAATGTGTGATCAAATAAATTTGATACTACAGATATATTGTTAGTTAATGTGAATATATATCATTAAGTCTATGTGATTGCATGTATATTTAAAATTTGAAATGTCTGTGAATTCAAATGTGCAAATTACCCCATTGTATAAATTACTCCAAATGTTGTTCTTTTAAATGTCAATGTTGGTAACATCTTGTCCTCTTAAACTTTCGATGTATGGAAAAATTGCAGCTTAGATATTCTGCTAAATCTCTTCCTTTGTGATCCATCCATGCCAGAGAAAATCATTTATTTGATGTTAGCCAGGGAGTAAATGATACCATTGTTTTTATAAACTTGCAACACAATCTCATGGCAATTTGTAACATTCTTCTAAGTCTAATTCTTACAAATCTGTATGTTTTCATTCATACATTGTAGTATGATTTTCTCCTCCCCAAATGACAGTTGGGTTTTAATAAGTTTAGTTTTCTACTTGTCATTTGTAAGTCTTTCTTCATGTTTTATGACTTCTACAGGAACAACATGAACATGCAGACTGCAGAGGCCGTGTCAGCGACCATAAACACCAACCGGAACTGTACTGTGGAGATCACCAATATTAGCTCCGCTTACTGTCTTATCAATCCAAAGTAAGAAAACAATTATACCTGAGCATGTGCAGATGCATTTCACATTCATATTATCATCATTTCACTTCCATTACACTTCTGAACCAAATATAAAAAGTGAATTAACATCTTAAAATGTGTTTAGTGTCTGATAGATCCAGTGCAGTCTCATGGCAACTCGTAACCTTTTGATTTAGTGGCTAATTTGTATAAATTCATTCAATCTCATTCGTACAATTTAGTAAAATTTGCTTATCCCCCAAAGATCATTGGGTTTAGGGGTGGGGTTTGGTGCCATGCCTCTTTTAAAATGGTACAGTAGTCGATAAACTGACAAAACGATCTAAAGTTTCTCCCTGAGATAAGGCTGGAGTAGTCCATGAAAGGTTTTTTTTTTAAGTGGTTATTGAAAGTAACCAGTCAAGTGATTGCAATTGTTTTTATTTATACTGTGTTACTGAGCAACATTAACCATGAACCTCTTTCAGAGTGTGTATGACCAGTGGGTTCAGCTTCCATCCTCCTCAACCCACCATCCGCACCGCCAAGACCGAGGTTTGCTCTTTCACCAAAGATGATAACACTGCAACTGGGGCTGTGGGCGTCTTGACCTATGACCTATTCCACATGCAGAACCACATGTGCACTGAGCGCATGGCCATTCTGTTCTCCGTCCCCTATGATTACCACCTCTACAAGAACGTCTTGGGCATAGGCATTTTTGAGAGCAGCCGGGAATGCAATAAAGCCCTGTACAAACACATGTATGAGGGGAAAGACTTCAGCCAGTTCACCCGGGTCGATGCAGGAGGATCTGGAGTCCTGCACAGGGGAAAAAAAGTCGACTTAAGAGTCACCATGTCTACTGTCGGCAAGGCTATTCTTAAGCTGGAGGTGTACGATAAGATGGGCTAAATAATAAGCAGATTTAGTATGGCATTAACAGAATATGTTTAGTTATTCATTTTAATGTGATACTTGCATAATCATATACAAAATCATATAGACATGCATGCCATTGTGCTTTCAAATACTGCAGTTACATTTTGATATCTGTTCATGGATTTATGCGGTCTGTTTTCATAATAATGTTTTTGCAAAAATTTGTCTGAATAAAAAAAAATCACTAATTTAATGTTGTGTCCGTTTAATTGTGTTTGCAATAATGTAATGTTATACATATAATGTACACTATATACATATGAAATGAGTAATGAGTTGGCCATTTGGCATTCATTAATTACAGATAACGTAAATTCACATCTCATAAATTAATATTTACTGTAAGCAGACATCATACAGACATAAAAATTCATGAATACACAACCAAAAATGGATGTTTTTCATGTATTTAATGTTTTAAATGCTATTATCTCTACTATAAACCTAACAAATGTACACATTTCACATATTATATACAGAAATAATTACATTTTCTGCAATATATTACTTAAAACTGCTAAAATAGAAAAAGGTCAATAAAAGTGTGTCTGTTAAATGATCCAGTTGATAGAGCAGAAATCAAAGTCTCAAAATGCAATTCAAAAGCATGAATTAACAAGTTAAATCACAAGCTATGGGCAGCTATTAACAGATTCTTTTAAAGAGTGGAAATCAAACCTGTGTCCTTTTCTTTTTCTAGTTTCATTCATTGAAATGCATAATATTACTCATCTTTATAGTTCAATGGCTTGTTTTTTCAAATAACAAACAATTAATTGGCAGCAACTAATGTAAACATGTAGATGTGGTCAAGAAAACAGCTGAAGTTCAAATTAAGCATCAGAATGGTGAAGAAAGTTAATTAAAGTGGCTTTAAAGGTTGCATGGTTGCTGCCTGTATTTAAAACACTGTGTAATAAATACTGCCTAGGCAGGGGTGTCCAAACTCGGTCCTGGAGGGCCGGTGTCCTGCTGAGTTTAGCTTCAACATGCTTCAACACACCTGCCAGGAAGCTTTTAGTATATCTAGTAAGCTTGATTAGCTGGTTCAGGTGTGTTTGATTGGGGTTGGAGCTAAACTCTCCAGGACACCGGCCTCCGGAACCGAGTTTGGACACCCCTGGCCTAGGGTTTTAAAACCATCTCTAGAGTTTAGTGAATGCTCCAAATAAGAGAACATATCTAAGCAGCAGTTCATTAGGTGAAAATGTCATGTTTAGGCCAGAAATCAGAGGGGAATGATTCAATAATAATTCCAGATATACAAAAAATACACAATACACCAAACTTTGAAGCAGATTCGCTACAGCAGCAGAAAAGCACAATACTTTCAGTTGAAAACATCAAACTTAGGCTTCAATTCAAACAGTCTCACCAGCATTGAGCAATACAATATATATAATAAAGTTAGTCTCACTGCGACATGCTGGCTCAGTGGTTAGTAAGCCTCACAGTATGTCACTGGTTTGATTCCCAGCTGGGTCAGTTGGCATTTCTGCGTGGAGTTTGCATGGTCTTCCCATGTTCACATGGGTTTCCTCCGAGTGTTCTGGTTTCTCCCACAGTCCAAAGACATGTGCTGGGTTAACTAAACAAGCTAAATTGGCCGTAGTGTATGTGTGTGCACATGAGAGTGTATGGGTGTTCCCAGTACTGGGTTGCAGCTGGAAGAGCATACACTGTGTAAAATGCTGGATAAGTTGGTGGTTCATTATGCTTTGGCGACCCCTGACAAATAAAGGGACTAAGCCGAAGGAAAATGAAATTAATATAGTTAGTCTGATCTGCTGAGTCTTGATTTGTGTTGTGACATTCGGACGGTAGGCTCAGAACAACATGAAAGCTTAGATCCATCCTGCACTATAGGCTGCTGCTGATGTAATGGTTTAGGGGGGATTTTTATGCAGTATCACCCTAGATAGGCTGTAGAGTATTGTTGCTGACCATCTCCATCCCTTTATGACCACAGTTGACTCATCTTGTGATGAGTTCACAAAGTTCAAACACTATTTTAAAGTGAACTGTTGAACATGACTTCACTATTCTCAAAGTCTCACTGTGGCCAATACAACAGAGCACAGAAACTACTGGAATGGGAAATTATAAGTGTACAGTTGTGTACATTTATGTTATTGCATATGTAAATAAAAATTATAAATCCAAAACATTTCCCAACTCTTTCTTAAAGTTACGTGATTAATAAAGACGTTATAATTCATCATCAACAAGTCAAATGTTAACACAAACATATTTAATTGTCTGAATCTTGTATAACATTTGTGAAACAAGTTTGTGCGGGTAACTTCACTCTCCTGGTCTAGCAACATTTCCCACCAGTGTCAATGATGATGGTGTGTGCCTGCATGTGTGTTGAAAGTGGGTGTGCGCTTAATTTGAATAAGCATGCTTTTTTTTGGAGATGGGTATGTACTGTGCCTGTTGCTGATCATGAAAACGCAGTGACTCTTTCAGAACGCACCGTTACTGAGCAGCACACACAGAGGTAAGCCTTCATTCTCATAGAGACGAAATATGCTTAATAATCATAACTAAATAATCTAAAGTAAATGCTAATGCATCCGTTTATTTCCATATTAAAATTATAACATAACAAGAGAGTTTCTTTAGTTATGGACATTTGAGAAACTCTATTTCATACCTTTAAATATTGAGGTATTATAAACTGCTATGGGGAAAATGGGTTTTGAGTTAAAGATTGATTTGTGTAATTACGATCCCCCTGTTTTATTCCACTTGTTAACATTTTGAATTATATTAGAAGAACTTTTAACTTAAGAAGTGCAACATGAACTTTAATGCCAGTCTGATTTATACTGAAGTGTGTGCGCACACACCACACAGCAGGATTAAAATACTGAATTCAACACAGCAGTTCAAATAAAAGACATTTAACGTAAAAAAGCTAACTTTATGTCACTTAATAACTTTTTCACAGCACTGATATAGTGCAAACAAAACTGCAATTCCAGTTCTTTTTTTACTGAAGACTTCTTTTCTCCCACAGTCCCTCTTCTTCAGTGCTTTCAGCCATCAATCAGATCTATCATTCGCCATCATGACTGAGTCTGCCGAGGCGGTGGCTGCCAACGTGAGCAGCAGGAGACACGCCACCGTAGAGATCACCAACCTGACAAACAACTACTGCTTCCTCAACCCAAAGTGAGACCAAAACTAACATTAAACTAAGCTTTCAAAACTAAAACTTGTGTCTGAAGGTGTATATGGGTCAGACATTTTTGTTCCCATGTTTAATTCTAATTATTTGAGTGATTTTCCAAACACGTAAAACATACTAAATGCATTTAAAGTGTTTACTTTGATGAATAATTTTTTTGTAAATAAAATTTCATTACTACATGTTCCATTATCATTCAGTGTATATTTATTTTACAATGAAACAGCACACCTATCCTGACCTGTACTTAATCAAATATATAAAAGTATAAAATTATACTAACATACATACTGACATTTGGACAAAATCTACATAAGTATAAAGATTAAGATGCATGATTAATTAGTATTTTGTGGTTCCACTGTGATCTTTAACTGTAATCATTTTATGTGTCATTTAATTATTCTTTTTCTAAATATGGCTGACAGGTTTTTTGCTATATGAAATACTGTTTTACTTAATGACTTTTTATTGGACGTCTTCTGTTAATGTGCATTAGTTATTTATGTTTTGTGTTAAACTAAACTGGACTCATATGGGGAAAAGCATTAAAGTTATACTTTTCATTTTCAATGTATATTCCCATATACAGTTGGTCAGAATTATTAGCCCTCTGAATTATTAGCCGTTTATCCCCCCCCCCAAATTTGTGCTTAACGGAGAGAAAAAAATATTTCAACACATATCTAAACATAAATAAATAATGGACTCTCACTCCTGTCATTCTATCCTACACCAAACCTCTATAACCTTTTTTTTTTCTCTGGAATGCAAAATATTCATTCATTCATTTTCTTGTCGGCTTAGTCCCTTAATCCGAGGTCGCCACAGCGGAATGAACTGCCAACTTATCCAGCACATTTTTACGCAGCGGATGCCCTTCCAGCCGTAACCCATCTCTGGAAAACATCCACACACACATTCACACAAACACTTATTCACTAAGGACAATTTAGCCTACCCAATTCACCTGTACCGGATGTCATTGGACTGTGAGGAAATCTGGAGTACCCGGAAGAAACCCAAGCCAATGCAGGGAGAACATGCAAACTCCACACAGAAACACCAACTGAGCCAAGGTTCGAACCAGTGACCTTGCTGTGAGGCGACAACACTACCTACAGCGCCACAGCATCACCGAAAGCAAAATATATTTTCTTTTTAGTCCATAACCATGTTGTTTGGCACCCTGTTGACTTTAGACTTATAGATAAAAAAGTTTCTATATTCTTTCAAATATCTTAAATTACACTGCTTTGGAACAATATAAGGGAGACTAAATGAAGTTTATTTATAACTAATTTCGAGAGGATCACCTGCTTATGATTGATCATGGCTGTCCCATGAGAAAATAACTGTTTATGTGCTTTTTGAAGGCCGAAAATCAGCATCGATGTGTTTGGAGCCGTGTCCGAGTCCATTAGATCCTTTCAGAGGTGCACCCATTTCTGTAAATTCATAAACTCCTCCAGAAACTTAATCTGGATGATGGAGGCTTTCAGCTGTGTTTCTGACTGAGCCGAGTCTAGTTTGATGAACTGTTGTCTGTAGTAGGGTTTCCCCCTGGGACACTAACAACAGGTGCTATGTCATAATCATGCCCCCACAAGAGCAAGGTCTTGATTGGTTAATGCGGTGCGAATGTCCACTGAAGTTCAGATTTTTGGACTTAAGCATTTCGTGCGATATGCACGTTAAGCGCATCAATCACTTAAAACGCTCTCAACTCCCGCTGCTTCATTCGCGCAAATTGTGTCATTCGCGCTGCCTCATTTGCGCATATCGCGTCGCATGATGTCTATTCGCACCTTTGCATTGACTTAACATGTTAATCACTCGTGCTTGACGCTTCTTCTGCGTCTGGTGTGAACGCAGCATAAGTCATAAATAAATAACCTAAGTTCCATACCACAGTCATCTTTGTTTTGAAGAATCCCCCTTCACCCCTACTCTTCCTTCTTTCCTAGATGGGTGGCATGATGGCCCAGTGGTTAGTTGATTAATCAAATTCCCCACCATAGATGTGCTCCTAATAAGTAGTTCATAGCAATCCCTAATTGTTCAATAGCTTTAAACAGCAGGGGAGTTCTCGGGATCTACCTGAGCTCAAATTCCCTCTTGCCCTGCAAACTTGAGGGAGCCCCGACTCGAGAATCTTATGAGCTCAGGGCTCTCTCTCAGGACAGCATGCCAAACACGCTTTATTATCAATCATCAGTTAGGTGTGAACTTTGGAAATGATGACAGATTTTTCATTTGTGTTTTGTATGAATTGTGCCACTAAAAACATGTGGTGCAAAAATAGTTTTTACCCAGTAAATGTCATACTTATTTCAAAGAAACATTTAATTAACTAATTTTATTTTCTTGCAAAGCAAATTTAAATCAATTTCACAAAAACTTTTTTTTCTCTAATGTGCAATGAAAATGTCCATCATACTATCCCAAATTCTTCAAATAATGTACATTTTGTTTCGTGCTGTTGTCAACCTTATCATCTATGAATTTAAGAACTGTATTATTTTGTCTGATAACATCTGCCCATCTGCTATGTAAGGAAAGCTATGACAGTTGAGAACATGAAGTGTCCAACGCTCCACCTTTTTTTTTCTTTTTATTCAGTGGCTTTCAGTTTTCATTGTGAACACACTATTCACAGACTACTTATACTATTAAATGTCACAGAACCATGCGCAATTTACAACACCCTCATGACTGATGTGTATAAATCCCACAGGGTTTATCTAGAGAACGGTGAAACCTCCAATCCACCTCAGCCCACAGTCCGCCCCCTCAAGACTGAAGTGTGTACTTTCAGCAAGAGCGCTGCACATGCCACTGGCAGCGTGGGGGTTCTGACCTACGACCTGTTCGAGCGAAGAAGAAATGACTACACTGAGACCCTGGCCATCATGTTTTCTGTCCCTTGGGACTACAATCTGTATAAAAATTGGTTTGCTGTGGGCATCTACCCTAAAGGAAAAGAGTGTGACCAGGCACTTTATAAAGAAATGTACTATCAAAAGAACCAGCACGGCTTTGTGAGGGAGGAGGCCAATGGGTCAGGCATTAACTTCGAGGGTAAAAACCTAGACATCAGGGCCACCATGTGTCCTATGGGCAGGGCGATCGTAAAAGTGGAGGTGTGGGACAAGCTGTTGAGTCCTATGGCTCAGATGGATTGCTAAATGTATAAGTTAGTCAGCCATTTCTAAAGCCATTGCTGAATCAAAATGAGAGGTATTTCTTGAACAGAGGAAATGAAATTGTACAGATAATGGAGCTTGATTTATATATGTATACAGTAGTCAGCATTCAAAGGGAATTAAAAATATTTTTCAAAATTGTCTTAGAAGAAGTATGGGTTCTGTTCAATAGTTTTAGGACGAATTTGATATTTGATGAAAGGTGACAATCCACTTCAAATACTGACAACTGTATATATATATATTTCCCATCACAAGCTTCTACTCAGGATAAAGGATTCTCAAATATATACATTTTTTTAAATACAAAGACGAAATGTAAACTAGACATTAATTAATAAAAAAGTCAGGTGGCTTAAATGAATTGCATATAAAATTGACAAATGATATTTGAAATTAATGGTCACTCAACAGACCAATAATGTCAATAATAATAATAATTTTTATTAGTATTATTATTGTTATTATTTTAAGTAAATGAACCAAAAAACTCTCCAAAAGTTCATTTTTAAATTGAATTTCCCTACTTCACAAATGTTGGTTTTGCTTATAAAGTACCTGACAATTTCTCTTTCTCATGTTGATTCATATCCTTAAATGTTGAGTGTTGTTGATTTCATTAAGCTGTACCATAAAAACTGTACAATATATTCAGGAATTTGCAAGAGAACTGTATTCATATACAATGGAAACTAATAAAATAAGATCTGATTGTCACTGTTTACTTTATTTTCTGTAAACCTATTACTTTCTGTGCATTGTTTTGCATAGTAAAATAAAAACCCATTTTCTAATTTCAATGTAAGATGTCGTTTGCCATTTTGCCTTTTTTTGTGACAGTTTTGTCACTTGAAGTATATTCAATTTAAAGTAAAATTTAATTTAAAAGAAAAGTTCAACCAATTTCATTTTTGTAAAATAAAGTAGAACGCTAAAGAAAATGTTTGGCTGAAACTGTGGTCTTTGGTGATTCTTGCAAGTCTGCGGTCACACTTTACACTTTAGGAGTAAAAAGTATACATACAGGCAAAACAATGTTAATGTCATTACATGTTATGATGCGTCACAAAACTTATCATCTGTGGATTAAAGGTAATAAAAAAGGTTTCGTTTCTTGCACAGTTTCACTTTATAAGACTTTCATTTAACATCAAGAGCAGAGTATTAGATTTGTTTTGTCTGTGTTTGTTTTTCTTTTCTTTTTTCCACACTACCCTAAACATAGCCATTGACTTTTGAGTTATCAAGCCCCGATGTTTCAGCTAAAAGTCTTGAGTGGCCTGAGATTGAGTAAATTAACAGCGAACCTGAATTATTCTCTTTAATCAAGCTCACTGTTTTCCTCTTAACAATAGCACGTTATTTATATTTTAAAATTTAATTAGAAACCAAATATTTTGCAAATGTCTCCTACGCTACTGTATGCCTTATATCAGTGTTTCTCAACCATGTTTCTGGAGAACTGCCAACACTGCATGTTTTGGATGTCTCCTTTGTCATTCACACCTAGTACAGGTCTTCCAGTCTCTGCTAATTAACTGATGATCTGAATCAGGTGTGTTTGGTTAAGGAGACATGGAAAATGTGCAGAGCTGGTGGTCCTAAAGGAACGTGGTTGAAACACTGTCTTATATCTCAAATGTTTGCCTATACATTTACTAATGTATTAACTCTAACACTATTCGCCAATAGCTTCCTAGCCAGGTGTTTAGTCTAATTTTACCTCTGTAAAAAATGATCTGAGGGTGCTTAAACTGGATCTTAAACACCTTTAATATCTCACACTTTTAAACGGTTTGCCTTTTCTGTCAGAAGAATGCCTCAGATCAGTGTTTACAGTTTGCTTATGCTTCCTGCAGGCTAAATCCATTCTCATATCAGGCAGCCATTGTGTTGTTATTCATTCGAACCATCTTCTGGCTCATTTTTTTTTTCATCAGGCTGAGATCTTTTTGAACAATATACGCCGTCTGTACTGACTGCCACTGCTAAGGGTATTTTCAAGTAAATATTATTCTGTAATTTCAGACCTATACCTTTGCTATTTTTATACTAAGCTTGAAGGCTTGTTGCTGAATCTATTTGTTGTATTCAAAATCTCAAATGAGAGCTGAGGCTGTTCGCCGTAAGCTGGAAACAGCCCTGTGTAAATATTTTGTGATATGTATTTGGAAATTCCTAACGCCTGAAGAGGGCAGCTGAACCATGGGAAGCGGAAGACAGAGATGGTGATATAATTATAAAGAATGAATCATAGCATCAAAGAGATGGCAGAGAACATTTTTACATCTTTAAACTCCTCTTGTCCTGAGTTACTCCTTCAGTAGGCACTCAGTGATGTCTCTCCAGCTTACTCAATGCTTACAATTTACAATCCTATACATTAATGCCAATTTATCACTAAGAAAGGTGGCTATAATCAGCAAACTAAAGGTTTTACAAGCAAGTATGACTACTTGCTTCAATCCGAAGGGAACCGATATCTAATTTAACGCACCAGCAATCCAGTTATCAAGGTCAAAGAGCAGCATTTGTAGAAAGCACGTCTCAAGAGACTGAAACACTATTAACAACATCAAAAATAAACACGCATCTGTTTTAAGTTATTAACCTTCATGTTGTTCAAATTCTCGGTGAATTTTTGTGTTGCAGGACAATCTGACCCCAATTTAATTAACCACACATCACACTTTGAAATAAACACACACACACACACAAACTGTAAATGCTTTACTATTAATACTTCACATATACACTGTAGCAACAAAAATAAAATATGAGAACTTTTCAAAACTTCATATTGCAAATGTGGCGACGCAGTAGGTAGTAATGTCACCTCACAGCAAGAAGGTCGCTGGTTCGAGCCTCGGCTGGGACAGTTGGCGTTACTGTGGGGAGTTTGCATGTTCTCCCTGCATTCGCGTGGGTTTCCTCCGGGTGCTCCGGTTTCCCCCACAGTCCAAAGACATGCGGTACAGGTGAATTGGGTAGGCTAAATTGTCTGTAGTGTACAAGTGTGTATGGATGTTTCCCAGAGATGGGTTGCAGCTGGAAGAGCATCCGCTGCGTAAAACATATGCTGAATAAGTTGGCGGTTCATTCCGCTGTGATGACCCTAGATTAATAAAGGGACTAAGCCGAAAAGAAAATGAATGAATACAAATGTACTGTAGTATATGGACTTTCTGGCAAGTGTTCATTAGATTGTTCGTTCAGTAAAATCGATTCATGTTTTTGGAGATGTCTATGCTCACCAAGGCTATGTCTGTTTGATCAAAAATACAGTAAAACAATAATGATCACATACTTAAAATATCAGTTTCTGATACTGAATTTCAACAGCCATCACCAAGTCTTGTTTTATTTTAATATTATTGAGTAATATTATAGTTTTCAGTCAGCATTTTTGTTAATACTAATAATTATCCATGTGAATGTATTTACAAACAATGAACAATCAATATTTACAGTATTTAATTATCTTTGTTAATGTTAATAAAAAAATTGTTCATTGTTAGTTCTTGTTAACTCAGAGTGCACAACTTTCGAATTTAATTATGCATAAGTAGATTCGTAAACTATGATTATTAGATGCTGTACAAGATTGTTTAGCTCATGTTAGTAAATACATTAACTGACATTAACTTACTGACGATTGTTTGTCAAAATGTTACAGATTTTTATCCTATTTCTATTTTCTAAAAAAAGTTCTTATCTGACATTAGGACAAAAACTTGCTACACAGTAAAAAAAAAAATCTGTTATTAACGGGAGGTTTTCTGGCAGTTGGGGTATCGGAAAAAAACACGTAAAAAACGGCCATTAAACTACATACATTTACTGTAAAATATGAGACATTAAATGAGAGAAACATCTTTAAATTTCCGATAAATTTCGGTCATTTAACATCTGATATTTTACAGTAAATTTATGTGATTTAAAAAACGTTATTTTACAGTTTTATCGGCACCACAGCTGCCGCAAAAAAAAAACATTAAATAACAGATTGTAAAAATTAAAAATATAAAATATAGAATATAGTTGTATTAATATAAAAATAAATAAATATGGAGAAAATAAAATGATAACATTTATTGTAAATAGTTAAGCATTCTGTTAGCAATGCTAAGATCATGAACTTGATTCCAAGCAATACCATGCTTGTATGCCAGCCTGAAACACACTTAAAGGGCACCTATTTTACCCCCTTTTTAAAGATTTAAGATAAGTATTTTGTGTCTTCAGAATGTGTCTGTAAAGTTTCAGCTTAAAACACACATCAGATTATTTATTATAGCTTTTAGAATGTTGGATTTTTCTATTCTTAACACAATGTAGCTGTTTTTGTGGCCTGCGCCTTTAATGCTAGTTCTCCCCGCACACCACTCTTTCATGCCTGTCAGAATGTACCTTAATCTCCACCTTGGCTGCGTCAGATACACAGCACAGTGACAGAATTGAAGAAAGCAGACCTCACATATTATTTGTGAGAAATTCTACAGTAAGAACTTTCCCAATGATTATTTGATGTATTTGTTGTGGAGTTAATGAGTCGATGACAACAATGAGTTACACACAGTGTCATTACAAAGTTCACGCACACACACAGCGCTCGTGTTTAACTTTGCACAGTTTTTTGCATGCAAATGTGAAAGGATAAACGTTAATATTCACTGCTATATGAATATCTGTTATGTAAATGTACAAAATAATCCTGATTTATGGTCCACAAACCAGGATTGAAGCATCTTCTTTTATAATAGTGCAGACATGCGGCTTTGGTGATAAAGACAGTAAAATTGCTGTAATTCATCACAGACATGCACTGTTTTAAAACATTTTAAATTAGTAAAACTCATACTTGATCACATTTGATGACGATTGATGATCACAGAGAGCTAAACATATCTTTTAATCCCGGTTGCTTTGTTCACGTCTTGTGTTGTTGATATGATTATGCATGCTACTATGAAGACATGTTATTACACAGCTGTCAATCAATTCAGTGGGCGGGGAAACTGTACTCCTATGTCACGTTGTGGTGGGCCTCAAAATCAGAGGGATTTGGGTCCTATTTTAACATCAGGAATGAAAAAAAAGAGACTTATTTTGTTTATATCACCCCAATATGACTGGAGACACACTATACCCATGCACAGTTCTGTCTAAACAGCTTATAAAAGATGATTTTCATCATAGTTGCCCTTTAAAGAAGATGAGTAAAAATGTAGAAATTATGTTGGTGCCGTGACCCGGATTTAATTGTTGGGGGATTCTATATAGGAGCTGAGTAAGAATACCTCCTCTTGCTTTACTCAAGATGCACACAACTGACACTTGAGGCTCAAGTCTTAAACATCCTTGTTAGTGCACCTTTTTGCTTATTTATACAACCGTTTTATACATCAATACCATATTTTTTCTCTATGTGTTGTGGCATTCGCATGGAAAGCCATAAAACGTACAGCAGGCTAAACATCAGCTGTTTACAGATATCTCTGGAGCATTGTTGCACAATAATGGGGTGGTGAAGAACTGCTGTAAACAGATGGCAAGTGCTTTTCTACTGTGGGTTTACTGAGTCAAGTGGGTGGATTTCTCCCACAATGGAGCTGGAAGCAGGATCCTTTTTTCCCTGGTGTATTTATTTTGCACCGTGAGGGAAATACTTCTAGATTTGCTTACGTTGTGTTGTGTGCATTTGAGCATGTGTATGTGTGTCTGTGCACACCACAGGGAAATGCCAATTAATATTGACATGCACACAAAAATTAAACAAGGTTCACCCTGTACATTCTCCATATACTTCATCAATGTGAGGCGACACAGTGGCTCAGTGGTTAGAACTGTCACCTAACAGCAAGAAAGTCGCTGATTCGAGTCTCAGCTGGGTAATTTCTATATGGAGTTTGCATGTTCTCCCAAAGTTCATGTGGGTTTACTCCGCAGTCCAAAGACGTGCTATAGGTGAACGGAAAAAACTAAATTGGCCGTATAGTGTATTTTTGTGAATGAGTGTGTATGGATGTTTCCCAGTACTGGGTTGCAGCTGGAAGGGTATCCGCTGTGTAAAACATATGCTAGAAAAGTTGATGGCTAAACCCTCAATGAATAAAGGGACTAAGCTGAAGGAAAATTAATGCATTAAAGATGGGCAATTTGTCACTAGAAAGGTGTAAAAGTGTTAATTTGCAAGAGAACGCACATAATTGCTGAAACCTTAAACAAAGGCACTTGGCAAAGATTGACCTAAAATTTAGGGTAATTTAAGTGGATTTAAACAGGATATATCTTTATTAGCATTGTCAATATTGTTCTGTTTATTTTAAAAAAAATAGCTGCAATTATATATTGCCTATGACTAAAAGTCAAGCTTTTTGAAAGTCTGAAAGTCGAGCGTGGATTCTGATTGGTTGTTATTGTCAATGTTTTATTAAATGGCAGAAGAATAATATTTGTCTTGATATCCTGAAAACAATTATAGTGAAATTGCAGAAACAACTAGGCCTATATGCTATCTTATATCACAAACCTTTTTTAATTTACATCAAACTCTTTTCTACTATTCTATCAGACAAAACTATGTACAAATCCACCAGAAAAGACATACATATCTGATTATAGATTTGTCTTGTTATCTTGTTAATCTACTCAAATCTGCTGCTGTTGTATTGTGTGAGAGTGCCACTGTGTGGACAGATCAGGTAAATATATATAAATACATTCATTCATTTTCTTTTCGGCTTGGTCTCTTCATTAATCTGGTGTCGCCATAGCGAACGTTTTCGGTCCAACATCCAAGCAATCACCATTATACAGAGGAATACGAACATGCTTTTCAAAGTGTGTATGCTTGTGTTTGCTTCTAAAATTATTTACCTCGTCTGTGAACTTTGCTTGAGTTTGTCTGTGGTTTTGTGCAGCAGGCCTCATGCTGGTGTCTGATCTCGTCGATGGCAGCTCTCATAGCAGACGCCCACTCCTGTGTACACAATGAAACTTCCCTACAAACGGAGAATATCAACAATTCCAGATGAGTACGGATCAGATACGGGTGTTATACAATATATATATGCATATATTATATATAATAACATATGTCTGCTTGTGGTATGTTTATAATTTTTTTAATATAAATGTACACTCACCGGCCACTTTATTAGGTACACCTGACCAATTGCTCATTAACGCAAAGGTGACGCGGTGGCGCAGTAGGTAGTGCTGTCGAGATCAGTGATCAGTAATATCTGTGCTTTATTCGGCAGGGGCAGTTGGCGTTTCTGTGTGGGTTTCCTCCGGGTTCTCCGGTTTCCCCCACAGTCCAAATGTGGTACAGGTGAATTGGGTTGGCTAAATTGTCCGTAGAGTACAAGTGTGTATGGATGTTTCCCAGAGATGGGTTGTGGATGGAAGTGCCTCCGCTGCATAAAACATGTTCTGGAAGATAGCCTTGTATCAGCAGTTCAGGCTGGTGGGGGTGTAATGATGTGGGGTATATTTACTTGTCACACTTTGGGCCCATTTGAGCATCATGTCAACCCCACAGCCTACCTGAGTTTTTGATAATCATGTCCATCCCTTTATGACCCCAATGTACCCATCCTCTGATGGCTACTTCCAGCAGGATTACGTGCCATGTCATAAAGTGTGAATCATCTCAGACTGGTTTCTTGAACATGACAATGAGTTCACTGTACTCCAATGGCCTCCACAATCACCAGAGCTCAATCCAATAGAGCACCTTTGGGATATGGTGGAACGGGAGATTCACATCATGGATGTGCAGCCGACAAATCTGCAGCAACTTCGTGGTGCTATTATGTCAATATGGACCAAAATCTCTAAAGTATATTTCCAGTTGTTGAATCTATGCTACTAAAGATTAAGGCAGTTCTGAAGGCTAAATTGGTCCAACCTGGTCGAGTAAGGTGTACCTAATAAAGTGGCCGGTGAGTGTATATACATATATATATATACATATATATACCTGGCTGGTTTTATAAAGTGCTTGTAGCTTACTGTATTTAACACATGCACATAACATAGCATACACTAATAATACCAACAACAATAATAATATATAACTACTACTAAATAATAATAACATTAGCCTAATAATAATGGTTGGTACATATATCTTTATGCAATTTAATATTTGTTTTTTCAAACTGTAACTTCATATCAATCGCTGATGTGTTGACATAAAATGCATGCATGTTGTGCGCATTAGCACAGACTGCTTTGAACACAAGAGGGCAGTGTCCGCATGTCAAATAAAAGTTTATGTGCAGACACGAGTTGAGTCGAGAGGAAATTATTATTTTACGGGTGATTAAACACATGCACAAGCATGGTAGGTCATAATTAGAGAACAACCAACAATTTCCTAATTTTGAGGTCACTGCTTTGAACAGTATTTCTCTAACTTTTTCTAACATTCACCACTTTGGAGGTTGTAAAGGACTCTTATAAACAAGGGCTGGTTTCAAATTCAAATTTATTATCTAAATTGAAAAAAAAAAACACATGACATCAGATAGCAACTTTGAAATGTTTATGTATTAGTGCTTTTTGTCACTTTCCAAACTGCATGCATAAAGACAAAACTAACAAAAAATCTTAATAATTTTATTCACTATTTTAGTGACTGCAACTAGCTTGTTTTGTAGTACACGTCTTTTCAAAATGTGCAGCAAGGCCTGATACTGCCACACTCAAGTCACATTTAATGTTAATGTGAGATTTGTATTTTGTTTAAAGTGAAACAACAGCATTTTTTTTCGTTCCATGCCACAAACATATTAATGCAAATTTTTATACCCGCTACTGCTTTTTGACTGTCCACAGTTTTTGTTCTGCTTTAATCAACACTCTGGCATGAAACCATTCTTTCAGGCCACTTCAATGTAACATTTGCTTTGCAGTCTGATGTTTTTTAAGGCATTGAGTCCATGCTCAATAAATAAAGGAGAGATGGGCACAACAGAGATGGACACAAAAATGATCAAATTTCGTCCTGTTTGTTGCTCTCCACTTGTCAGGTCTCTATTCTCACCAGTGGGCTCACCTCATATTTTGAGAAACTCTTGCTTAGATCAATTTGAAGTTAAAAGGAGTGAAAGTTTTTTTTAAGCAAATTTTATGAGTTTCATCACACATTAAATATATTCTGAAGGACAACTAAAAAACTAGATTAGTTAGTTGAAAATTTTTTTCTGATAACTTTCACTGTTGTTGGTGTTAATCCGCCACTCATTGGAAAATCCTTAATTATCAGACAAATATTTAACTGGCAGTCTAACTTTATAGATTTCACTGTCTTAAAAGTGTCAAAACTCAGCAACCACAGTTCTGCAGAATAAATCACCCTTTAAGATCCAACTTGCCTTGAAGACTTTGATTAGCTGATTCAGCTCTGTTTGATAAGGGTAGGATCTAAACTATTTAGGACAGTGACCTTCAAGGAGCACAATTGAACACCTCTGGACTGAACTATTCTTTACTGTGATGCATATATATAGTACATGCAAAAGTCAGCTAACAACTGACTGAAAACTTTTGTGTGTGTGTGAAATAATAGTGGCAAGTCTTTTGCAGTATTGTATATGTACATGCACACACAAATAGCATATTAACATTCTTTTTCTTCCCTAGAATAAGCAGATACTGTCAGAAATGCTTGCATACAGTATTGGGGTAGGTAATCTAGAGTTTATATGAGTGCTGGAAATTTTTAAAAGGTTTCAAACGTGCTTATATTTTGGGTAAAGTGTTTGATAATTTAGTTGTGGTATTGTCATAATTCTTAATAAATAGGTGAAAATAAAGAACCATTAAAATAAAATAAATATTTTTGTATTTGGATAAAATGAAAACAAAAAGCACAGAGATTGCTGTGTCATGAGTCAAAAATGTATGAAGGTAAAATGAATTATTCAATCATATTCTTTTCGGCTTAGTCCCTTTATTATTCTGGGGACGAACCGCCAATTTATCCAGCATTTTTTATGCAATAGATGCCCTCCCAGCTGCAACCCATCACTGGGAAACACCCATATGCTCACATTCACACACACATACACTACAGACAATTTAGCTTGCCTAGTTCTCCTACCGAATGTCTTTGGACTTGTAAAGGAACCGGAGCACCAGGAGGAAACCCACGCCAACATGGGGAGAACATGCAAACTCCACACAGAAATGCCAACTGACCCAGCTGAGGCTCGAACTAATGACCTTTTTGCTTTGAGGCTACAGCGCTACCCATTGTGCCGCCTATTAATATAAAATATAAATGTAAAATTATACATTTAGGATGTGAATACATTTAAGAGAGTAAATGACTGGAATTCAACATTGGGCTTGGGACAGAAGTGCCATTAAACTGTAACTAAACTATAACTAATAGCATCTGATATGAGGGTGATGTATATGTATGCAAATATGTCATTTGTCACTTGTAAAGTGCTGGAAAAGTTTGAACATGCATCTGGAAAGTGCTTTAAAAGTGCTTTAATTTGTATTTAAAAAAGATGTAAGAACGCTGTTTATCACTTGGGCATCTACGAAAGCCTGTAACACAATCTGTGTAGCAGAGGCGGGAAACAGCTGCCTACATCTCTCTGTTGGTTCCCATGACTTAATCTATGAGGCCATGAAGTCAGTCTGGACACTCCTCAGAGGCTGTGAGAGCCTGGATTTCACTAAGTGTGTTTTATATATAGTAGACCGACAGTTTGGAAATTTAGTTTGAAGTTTAAGAGGAAAACAGGCTATTAAAAGTGCTTAAATAATACTCCACATCTTTCCCTTCTCTGCCTTCAGTGTCTTTAATGCTGACTGCACTGGATAAAAGTTCTTGAGAGGCCTGTTTAGTTTGGCAGGTTGTGTTAGGGGGCAGAGCTACTGTAAACTCACATCCAGCGAAGGAGGCTGATGCAATCCCTGTGTAACTACACATACTCCTCAGCTTTCAGCCTGCCATATAGACTGCGACCACATGTAACCCTTAACAGACTTTGTGAAGTTTTCTATTTACTCCTTTTCTCTCTTACATCTAAAGTTTTTTATTATTATTATTTCACGTGTTTGCATTGCTTAATATAATGCAGAAGCTGCCACACTATTCTTTCATTGGTAATAAGTCTTTGTGAGAGGAAGCTGACCCATCTGGAAACACTGCATGAGTTGTTCATTGTGAACAGATCACATGTCTTTCAGTCCTAACTGCTTTCCAAACTAAACCTACTTTTAGATTGACTTAAAATAGAGAAAAGATACACAGAATATGTGCATGTTCGCCAGCAGTAAAGATCTGAAGAATAGATTTGCTTCTCTCTTTCTTTGTTAGCATTATCATAGCTTGCAACAAACAAGTTTTAGTTGTGTGTTTGCTCAGACTTGACGTTATGAATCATGTAATTGTTAGTTTTTTCTCCCCTTAAGACATATGCCAACCACAAGACATTCTTTTAGCAGGAGCAAAGCTGCATTTAACTCTCCTCTCTGGAAATCATTAGTGCTTTATCTGTTGTTTAGTACTGGTTGAGACCCTTCAGACAGCTTCGTATTTTTAGAGTGGGCAGCACCGATCAAAATAACACAGAGAGTTTGATAAGAAGGTACTTGGACAGAAATGTAGCGGTAATTGTCTCATGTCCGTTGCTGTTTCAAGTTTACTTCCTTCCTCAGACATCTGCTTCGTCCCAACAGAGCAGTTATATTGTTATCTAAACAGTTCAGTCAGCCATGTTTAGTGAGCATTCTCTATGTTTATCCTCTAAGGGGTCATATGGGTTTCTGAGACTTAGCCAGGTGTTGCTATGTTGTGTGTCCGTAGGTGTCCTTACCTTCATGGCCATGGCGTTTGTTTTGAAAAAAAAAATCTAAGGGATGTGGCAGAGGCATGTGCTGGGTAGGAAAACTGTTTCTTTCTGTTTGGTCTGTCTGAAATAAAGTGAAGAGAGAACTGACTTTCTGTACTCTTTACACAGGACTACATGTGTTTTGAATAGATATGATTGGGATATGAATAGAGTGATTAATTTTATTTAACTAAGCTTTGAATAATTCTTTTAAATACCTTGTGTTTATGAAGCAAGATAATATTAATAGGCTATGTTCAAACAGTAGTCTGTGTGCTGAATGAGAGATGACAGTGGTTTCTTGTTCAGTGTCACGAGGTCGTGGGTGACAGTGGGAGGGCTCACACCGAGGTTAGGGGTCAGTAACGGATCAACAAAGATACAGAGATCTTTCTGTGACGCTCCCTTAACAGAAGGTTGTGTCAAATATTTAGCGTGTGTGTGTGTGTGTGTGTGTGTGTGTGTGTGTGTGTGTGTGCGTGTGTGTGTGTGTGTGTGTGTTCAGTGTTTCTATAAACATTCTCAATCTCTTCTCTGTAGCTTACAGTGGCCACACCCCTGTACTGATGACATCATCTTTTATAAATTATTCTTGGCATTTTTTGAACACAGTTGTGATTATTTGAATGCAAAACATGTGCGTCTTTGTTCTACAGAGGAAAAAAGGAAATCATACAAATTTGTGTTGACATGAGGGTAGACTTTTTGATGAACTGTGGTTAGTTGTTGTACCTTTTACTATTACCATTTACTAACATTTAAAATGTTCATCATATTGTGTTCTTTTTGTTATTCATGCAGTTAGTATAAGTAGTTATGTTGTGTAAATCTTTATGCAGCTCATTTTGTCAGTAAGCACTTCCCTTTCTGAGATCTGTTTCTTTAAGAGAAGAGGGAGGAGGAGGGTGGACCGGCTCTGGGTTTTGAACGCCCCTTTTTTAAACAGAAATTCCTCTCTCAAGAGTTTGGCATTTTCTCTGAGCTCACACACCGAGAGCCCGCGCTCCTGTTGCACACAGTGACAAAAGGGGGGATTTTCAAACATCCTGAATGAGAGGACTGCTTTTGCCCTCGGCACACGCCGCATCTGTAAAGGAACCCAACAGGGTGAACTTTTCCTTACACGACAACTTTTGTTCAAAGTGGTGGAAAGAACATCAGCTGGGCCTCATTTTCAGCATCTGGACGAGTGGATCGGCATGGGCTAGCCCCGACCATTCCTATAGAGCTGAAGTGGACTGGAGAAGGAGCAGGAGGAGGATGAGTGTTTACACCCTCAACCTCAGGTTTTTCTGGCCTTTGGTCACTTGCATCCTCACTGCTCTGCTGCTACTGCATCAGTACATCTTTAGAGGATTGGAGGACCAAGGAAGCGACTGTGCTGACCAGGGACCAGGAGTTGTTACACTTTTCAAGTACATTCTGGCATTTATTCTGTGTTACTTCTTTATAAGATACTGCTCAGGTCAGCCTGGCTCTGTAAGAAGGGGTTTCCACAAAGTCCTAGAGGTGCATGGAAAGTCGGGAGTCTCCAAGCGAGAGCTACTGGACGATCACTATGAGAGGCATGTGCGCCTCTCTCCACATGTTCTAGGCCACAGCAAAGCCCATGTTGCCAAATTGGTCAGTGAACTTGTCAGGGTGGGCCGTACTGACGTCCCACCAGAGTCTTCTCTAGCCTTCAGGGGAGACTTCATCCAGATTGGCAGCTCCTATGAGGAGCACAAGGTGGGCTCACCTGATTGCTTTGACATCCTCGTACCTCTGCGAGCTCCTCGTGGGCTGAAACTGGAGACAAGCGCTTGCACTGACAAACATGGAGGACCACCGCTGTGCACACTGAACACACCTCGCAAGGCAGAGTGGACACGCCGTCACAAGGCCTTTACTGACACATTCATGCACAGTTCTCAAAATGTCTATAAGATGAGTCCAGATTCTGTCCAGCGCTGGTTTTACACAGCCACTCAGCGCTGCCTTGCTGCCGTACGTTACCCTTTTGACCAGCGCTGCTCCCTCAGTCTCTCTCTCAGTGAAGAGCAGCAGGTTCTCCTCCGTATGACCCCCCGCTCTGATTACGTCTGCTGTCACATATCAATGGGCATTCGGCTGATCCCAGCATTTCCTCTCAGTGATGGAGGATTTTTGGTGGCATCCCAGCAAGGAAAGGACCTTTGGACTGTGTATTTTCCTAGACAGGAGCAGAGACTGCTGACATGCCTGAAAGGTAGACTGCCTTCCAACTCCTGCCATCTGAAGTGCCTTCAGCTCCTCAAGGAGATCCGTAACCTCAGTGGAGAGGTGCTGGACCAGCAGTCTGGAGCAGAATGGGGAACGGTGCTTTCGTCTTATGCTCTGAAGACCGCCTGGATTCGTCTGCTGCTCAGTACACCCCCTGAGGCCTGGGACGAGTGCAACCTTGTGGACCGGTTAGATGATCTTCTCCGCAGTCTAAGGGACAGCCTACAGTCTCGGGCTCTCTGCCATTTACTCCTCGGAGGTGTTAATGGCCTTTTGCCAGACTCTGTTGCTCTGCCCAAGCTTGTTAAGGAGATGGTACCCTCAAACCTGTGGGCAGAATTCAGTGACGTCACCCTCGATATGGTCTCCGCCCGACTGACCTACTCCTGGAACCACCTCCCTCGCCTTATTCGCCTCGGGCGACCACAGAGGACCAGCCTTGGCAGAGTAGTCCGCTGCAAATATGTTGATGCAGAGTAAAGGTCAACTATAACTGGTATTACTGAACACACAGTGATGAACTGCTACATATTTTAAGACATTTATGTCTCTTGAAATCAGTGTTTTTGTTAAATTCTGTTAAAAAATATTTTTTTGCCTCCAAGGTAGCAGCCAAAGCACTAGATTAGACCATTATGGTAGCATTACAAAGGTACAGCAGTACATCAATCATATCAGTCTTGGTACTGTATAAATCAGTATGTACTGTAATTGAAGAATTCGCTTTAAAATGTTGCTTGAATTTCACTTTTGTAATGATTTTCTTTTTGTGCAAATTTATTTATCATATCTGGAGAGACATGTAGATTTTTAAAACAAAAAGGACCAGTGACTGTTTATACATTTAGTCTAGGGGTCATTTCAGAGAAAAAAAAAACCTTTTTTTGTTTTTAAAAGATGTCTAATAGACATCTAAACAGTCGTCTCGGCTAAAACAAGGCTAAATTTGGGCTGCCAGTGAAAATCTAATAGACATCTAAGAATAGGCCAAAACTAGACTAGTCATTAAATAGACAGAAATAAATGACTACACATTTAAAGTCGGTCTAATCTGTCTATCTGACGACTAGTCTAGTTTTGGCCTATTCTGCGATGTCTATTAGAGTTTCACTGACAGCGCAAATTAACCTTGTTTTACAAGGTCTACGTTTAGATGTCTATCAGACGCCTATTAAACACAAAATTGTTTGTTGGGTTTTTTTCTGAGATCTGCTAGACTTGAGTTGACTCAGTGTGACCATGATGCCTTGGTAGTGACTAGTCAAAACAACATAAACACCAAAGTTTTTCCACACCCACACAGTATTAGTAATGCCAGCATGAACAGATGAACATCCTGTTTTGAAGGTTTCAAAATCATATGCTATGATGACATGACATTTTGATCTAGCTATATTTTACATATTTTTAATGAATAAATTATTGACATTGTTTCATAACACTTTCAGCATTGCTTAATTGATTGCTTAAGCATTCAAATAATGAGTTAGATCATAAATTGTGCTTCAGTTCACCTTAGCTCATTACTTTAAGTGACCCACTGAAGGATGAGGCATAACTTCACTTCATCTTGTGAGTCTACAGGGACCCAAACATGTGTGCGCATCATCTTTTCCCTCAGAGACATGCTTCTACAGGCTGTCACTATAGAGGCACGCTACCTCAGCCCAGGGTCACTTATTCAAGCTGTAGCTTTAGTTTTAGTTGCTGATTGCATTGCATTCACTTTCACAAAAGCAACTGAATTCCTCATTGATATCTTGCAGGTACTGATAGCCACAAGGTTAATTTGTCAGCCTCTTTTCTCATCCATTAAGCTGTTCTCAAAGAGTTCATGGTCCTTCATGTCAGGCAAATTAGTTTCACCAGCTTTATAGGGAAATGCTTTAAGCTTCATTTCTGGTGTTGCCTAAAAGCAGAACAAACAAATGAAATAAGGAAATGAAACAGACGTGCTCTGAAAACTATGCTAAAATGTAGTCCAAAACAAGCAATATAAAAATACAGAGTGACTGATGTTGAATGTATGTATAATAATGTATATGTCATTTAATATATATTTGGTACTGTATATGAATGTAAGTTGAATGTAAAATACATTGTACTTGATGTACATATTTGAGAAAAATATTTTGTGTGTATATGTATGTGTGGTGTGTATATACGGTATACAGTGAGTAAATACATTTTGTATAGACATAATTTATATCAATAATAGATATAATTTAAATGTTTTTAATATGTGATTTTAAATAAAATATATATTTTGGACTGCACAGAGTTTCGTTGAATATTTCTTAAATTTGACAGCTGTAAAAATGTTTTCCTTTTATTTATTTTAATATTACAATAGGACATGGAAACAGAACCAAAAGACTCTTAGCACTGTCAGCATTGTATTATATAATAATATGTCTTCTTAATCATGTGATGAGATTGCCTTCAGTTAAAAGAAATTAAAATGATTCAACAATGTTTTCTATTCACAACTATTTTAATAATTTATTTATTTTTCTTAATTATAAAGAGTTCTTTTTATTCACAACAAAAACACTCTGTATATAGTCAGTGTTTGTCCTCGGTTGAGTACAATGTTTACAGCAATGTGGCTCAGAGTAAATTATAGTGTGGCTCAAAACTGCTGCTCTCTAACATTAGGACATCATTTCATCCTTTCTAATTATCATTTAATTTATGCACTTGCTTGCAGGATTTGATTAGATTGGAATGTGAGTGACACAAGAGGTCAGTGTTTGTTTAAGGCATACATACTTTATCATACCAGTGAGTTTACCAGTTCTGCTTTTTAATATTCTATCTCCTAGTATGCAAGTGAAAATACTCTATCTTTATTCTGTCTGGTTTCCTGTAATAGACCTAAATGTGATGAATGCCATGGGTGTAGGTGGGACATGTGCTTATTCTCTTAAACCTCATCATTTATGGAAGACTATTTTTTACTTTTTTCAAATTAAAGGAGTAGTTCACCCAAGATTTATGCAATTATTTACATCATACACTTTATAAATAATCATCACACAAAACATCATATTTTAAAATAAGCTTTAAACATTTTAAAGGTTATTTCAAAATAACTATATTCTCTACAAACACACTAGAGGACATCTGCAATGGGTTACAGATGGAGAAAGTATACCATTGTCTGTGAAGCTTCGTAAAAATTCAGGCATCTAAAAAATGATTTCCAACATTTTGTGTCTGAAACTGAACATTAAATGTATTTATTGAAGATCTTGCATGCCAGATGTGTTCATCATCCACTTTTAAAATAAATGTAAAAATAAATTACCTTGAACAGCCTATTATTATATAATACTGTAACATTTTGTGGAAGTTAAAAATCTGACAATGAGTAAGCATTAGAAAGACACCTAGCACAACAGCAGAGGTCACTATAAGTCTGTGTTTGAAAACTGTCAGCCAAGCCTTTCAACAGGTTCTCGGGAGCTGGAACAAATGAACCACCTCAATTCACACTTCTCACACTCAGTTCTAAAAGTTTTTAAGATGTAAAATGAATTATGACCATGTGGAATACACTAGTTTCTAATGATCTGTTTGTTTAGCTTTTAGAAAGGCTGCAGAGCATTCACAAACTCCAAAATAAATAAATGAAACTGTATATATATATATATATATATATATATATATATATATATATATATATATATATATATATATATATATATATATATATATATAACCGCCAACTTACTTTTTAGGCAGCAGATGCCACACATCCACACACATATATATTTATTTAATAGATAGATCTGTTACTTAATGTCTATGGTGAACCCCAAGCAAGCTCTCAAAGGCTCCAAAATACACAGAGAAAGGTTGCACGCCAAACGAATTCCTGCGTCTGACAGTATCCATAGCAGCAGAATCATATCGGAGTAGGCCTAATTTTCTAAATAAAATAGTATTTAATTAAAGTAACGTTTGTATACATGTTTAATAAACTCTTTTATAGACAGCTTGCTAAGTTTTAAATAGCCCAACTTTCACAATGTCTGGCCAATAAATTTAATATCGAAACTGTCGAGGGATTTATCAACCAGCAAAACACAAACAAAATACCACCGGGTGCTAATATCACTGACTAGTTTTCATTCACTCCTTCGAGTGGACCTTATTAGTGAACTAATGTAGAGAATAGTGAATGAGGGTATAGGGGGCGATTTCGGATACAGCACTAGTTTCATCTGCTGCGCGAGGCCGTTCTCCATCAAAACAGCAACAGCTCATGTGCCGCATTCAAGCTAAGGAAACTTGTGAATGTTTTCCACCCACTCAGGTTTCAATGCAGAAATGACCATGCTGTCAAACACAGACAACACAGCTTCCAAGATCTCCTAGCTCTTCTACCATCATATACTGAAGATCGTACACCAATGTACCTTGTTCACAGGGCGGCAGCAGGTGGTCGCAGCTCTCGTAAACCCTTCCCTCTCGGTGTATTTCAGCAAAGAGCAACAAGTGTCTGCAGCCGGCGAGGTGCTGCTATAAAAACGGGCGGGGACAGAGACGCGCAGTACAGATTTGATATCCATCAGTGCTTCTGCAAACCTGGATGAGTCACTGGTCTCTGAAAGAAACCCTGATCAAGAGGAGGAGGAAGAGGAGGGCGCTGCTCTCTCCTGGGAGAGGAGAAGACAGGAGAAACTGACTGTCTTGCGTGTCATTTTTGAAGACTAGAGAGAGCGAGGAGACAGGAAGGAGAGGGAGATTAGGAGTGTCTGGGTGGGTGGGATTGAAGAGGATGGGGAGGAAGAGGAGGGATAGATAGATTGAGAGAGTGAGAGGGAGAGAAAGAGGGAGGGAGAAAGACAAGGGGATGTTTTGTGTTTGACTCAACATCACCAAGTACATTTATTTATTTTTTGTTTGTTTGTTTTGGAGGAATGGATGGAGGAACCAAGCCCGTAGAGACCTGAATTCATTACTTGAGTCACATTTACAGATATTTTTTTTCATAAATGTATAAATATATTGAGTAAATCTGGATCCAGAGAGTGGCATGTTGCTCTGGAAGGGAAGTGAGACAGTGGGGCGAGAGTAAGAGGAGGATGGCGTACACACAGGTGAGTCGCAGTCACTTCTGACACACACAACCCACACACACTCTACCATCTGGGTCCTTCTGGATTTCACTTTTCGTTTTCACATGCGTCTTCATGCAGATTTTTGCTCATTGCTTCTCTTTATGTGGTGATTATTCCTGATCAAGGCCTTAAACTGATTTAGTTGAGTGTAAATGATTTGTATTTGTTTACTATATGGATTTGATGGTTTATTGTTTGTGAAATGTCTTTGGATATTGTTTCATTGTTTTTATTGTTTGGATATTGTTGTTAAAACTATATTTAAAGGTTTACAGTGTTTTTAGTCTAAGATCTTTTAAGCAACATTTAATCTTTGAGAGAGAAAAGAGATCCAGAATCAATCACAGGGGCAGTGCCTTTTGAAAAAAAGTACTAATATTTAGATAATAATATGTACATATTTTTCTGAGAGAGTATTTTTGAATATTAATTAGTTTTACAGTCTTCATTTATTGATTTATTTATTGCATAATCAGTGTGTTATGATGTACCTTTTGGTAACATTTATACACCGAGAGTACGGATAAGTCTAAAGTCTTTCACTATGGTAATACCTGTTACAAATACCATACTGATACGCTTAATGTAATAATTTGTACTTTATATGCACCCTTAATAGGGGTATCATTTATAAAATATATTGCCCTGGTTACAGATTGTGTATGTTTTTTTTTTTCCTGAGAGTGAATATCAAATTTGAAAGCATATTTGGGGAAGCATTAATGGTTTCTCTACATATTTCACTCTTTTGAAAATATGAATGCAGCTTGTTTTTTTGATGTTTTAAACTTTGTTTCAATGGGGTTAGCTGCTGTTATGGTTTTCATGGTACTGTGTTTGAGACCTCGGTCAGGGGAATAGCAGTGGGCATGTGGAGCAGTAGGGACGGTCATGTCAGTGACCCTGATGCGTCATCTCTGCCTCAGCCAGCGGCGGCAAGGTGCGGGCTGCCAGCGACAGGAGCTCATATCACTGTTGCCATGGTTACAGCCACAGCTAATTGCTTAGCCAACATTGGGCCACTGATGAGGAGCGAGAGCTGGACTTAGAGAGCAAGTCAGGGGGAGGGGAACAGGACACACTAACCTGTAGATGCTCACGAGTAAATAACAAGCTTAGGTGTGCAGTCAGATATTAAAATCTTTTGAAATTACTGTGATTTTGAGGCTGATTCTTGGTGGTGGCATTAATTGTTTTTTTACAGCTTTTTTATTTTTATTCAGACTCTGCACATGCTTATTAGTGCAAATGTATATTAGTATTATTATAATTGCTTTGAAAAAACAAAATAGGTGAAGCATTTGCAATAAATTGTAAAAAGAAAATGATATGATGTACAGCTGTAGTCAGAATTATTAGCCCCCCTTTGAATTTTATTTTCTTTTTTAAATATTTACCAAATGATGTTTAACAGAGCAAGGAAATTTTCACAGTATGTCTGATAATAATTTTTCTTCTGGTTAAAGTCTTGTTTGTTTTATTTTGGCTAGATTAAAAGCAGTTTTTCATTTTTTTAAAAACATTTTAAGGTCAAAATTATTAGCCCCTTTAAGCTATATATTTTTTTCGACTGTCTACAGAACAAACCATGGTTATACAATAGCTTGCCTAATTACGCTAACCTGCCTAGTTAACCTAATTAACCCAGTTAAGCCTTTAAATATCACTTTAAGCAAAAGAAATGTGTCCTGAAAAATATCTAGTAAAATATTATTTACTGTCATCATGGCAAAGATAAAATAAATCAGTTATTAGAAATGAGTTATTAAAACTATTATGTTTAGACAAAAAAATCTTCTCTCAGTTGAAGATAAATTGGGGGGAACAAATAAACAGGGAAGCTAATAATTTAGGGGGGGGGGGGATAATTCTGACTTTAACTGTATGTGACCATACTACCTTTACACTTGATAATACAACTATTTGAATATACAACTATTTGAAAGTTTAAAATGTGAAAGTTAAAAATCTAAATCCTAAGAACATCCCTTTTTAAAGTTGTCCAAATTCCCTTTTTAGCTCTGCCTTTTACTAATAAAAACTGCCATTTTGGCAGATTTATGGAATTAAATGTTTTCAAATAAATGATTAGAAATGTTTTCATGGAGCATGACCTTTACATAATGTTCTAATGATTTCTGGCATAAAACAAGCACCATAGGCAATACATTTACCTAGTAGTTAAATTACTATTCAAAACTTTTATTGCATATTTAAATTAACAGTGTAACTGTTTTTTACAAATAATAATTTTACTTCTATGATAGCAAATCTGCATTTTGTTTGTCACATGATCATAAATATTTATTATTGTTAAGAAATATTTATTTTTATTCTTTATTATTATTTTATTATTAAAATAAAATAGGAATTACAGACTACTTGGCTTTATATTTTAGTGAAACCATCGTGCAGGCTTTCTGATTTTTTCAATTAATAAAACAAAATTTTTAAATCAAGATTTATTTTTACATTTTATTTAGTTACATTTTATTTTAGGGTCCCACTAAGATACAAAAACAAAAAAATAAAATAAAATTACCAGAGAGTTTTGATCAAGAATGGACAAAACAGAGTACATGATGAACACAATAAATATACAAAGCATGCCGAAATCAAACCATAGTCATAAACTGATAGCTGAATAATAGTATTAATTTCTTTTCAAAATTAATTTTGCTGACTGCAAAGTGTTGCATGTATATCAAGTATGTCATGAAATGGTATTTTAATGTTTATCTGAAAAATTGAATAAAAGAGAATTTCATTTTTTCCTCTTTTTTTCTGTGCCTGACTTCCACCCTGTACTGCTCTCAACCTTTGAAAAAGAACAGTTGGAACCCATCAATGAGGTATGTAGAGAAAAGTAATTAATAAATCTCTTAAAATTTTATTAAAGTTCTGCCCTAATTTACTCAGCCTCCACTTTTCCAAACCTGTTTGAGTTACTTCTATTCAACACAAAATAAGATACTTTGAGTAACGTTGGAAAGCAGCAGCTGTTGCCGACAATGGTATTTTTAATATTAGTAGTGTTTTTACTATGACTGCTTGTTTCCAACATTCTTCAAAATATATTGTGTGTTCCAAGGAAGAAAGGAATTTTTAAAAGTTTAGAAGTAAATGATGAGCAAATTATTTATGGAAGGTGAATCTGTTCATTATCTATAATGTAGAATGAAAATATAGATATTCAATTTTTGATGGTAATTTATTCTGATATGCATGACCCTACGTGAGATATTTGACTGACCTTTCCAATCTTAAAATGTATTGAAAAATGCATTCGCCTCCAGATAAAAAGAAAAAGGTCTTGTTTACACAAGATTTTTTTCCTGTCAACATCCTGTCTTAAGCCATTTATTATTTAGCCAACCATAGGCACATATACAGCCTCAGCGGAGGACTGGGCTTTTTGGAGCGAGTAATCTTTGTGATCTTTTGGATTTGTTTCCTCTGTTTTTAGCAGTCATTCAGTGTAAATCAAAGAGAAGCAGTTTGTGTCGAAAAAAAGATAGCATTTTATTCATGAATGATGAAAACATCTGAGTGACCTCTGGAGTTCTACTTCATTCAATGAGAGTGATGAAATAATGTTTGTTCTGCCCTAGTTTCCTGTTTCTTTTTCCAATGTGGAAAAGAAAAATGAACTTAACAGTAGTAAATCGTTAAAAGGTTTGCAATATTTAATATTTTACTGTTGTCATTTTATGCAAAAAGATCATCTTATTTGGACATTTTAAGAAAGAGTAGCATATAAAATAAAATGTGTTAACCTATTTATGGCAAATCCAGAAAAATTATAATAACTATGGACTCTTTTCACAAGACTGTTACGACAAGTTTAACGCTCATCATAATCTTAAACTCATAAAAGTTTTTAATATTTTTATTAAAAAACAAATTGTATGTACATTTATATGTATTTAAAAACATATTTTATACAATCTTTGCATCAAATTACTAAAAAAATTACCACTTGTGCGAGCCATTTCTTCTACAGCCTTTATGGACAGGACAGTAGATTTAACGTTGTTCTCACTTCTGGCTGCTGTTATTGGTTTTACACATTTTTTTCCCCTTTTTCTGAAAGTCTTGATAACACCATAGTGTAGTTTTTCTTTTATTATTTTGCAAATGGGATTATAAAAAACTATTTTGTTCAGTAGTATGATAACTTCTACCACTGAAAAACACAGAAATGTAAAAAGGGTCCATCATATGATCTTTTAAAGGGAAAGGTTACGTAAAAAGGAAATTGTACTCACCCTTAAGTGGTTCTAAACCTTTATGAGTTTTCTTTTTATAATGAACACAAAACAAGATATTTTTAAATATATGTTAGAAGCCTGTAACTATTGACTATATAGGAAAAAACAGTGGTCACTGATTTCCAATGTTTTTCAAAATAACTTACAAAAAAACTCAAAAAAGGTTTGTGACAGTGAAGTGAAGTGTCAATTTTTTAAAGCTATCTCTTAAATTTTTTTTATAAATAAATTATATAATTATTCAGACTAATATGCAGTTTTTTATTATTGTCAGTGTACAGTATATTTTATTTTTAATTATTACAGTTGTGTTGCCTATTATTTTTGTGCAAACCATGATATATCAAATATATGCTCTAACAACAATGCCTATGTATAATTATCAATAAAAATAAAAAAAACATTTGAATGGTAGTGTAGATATCTAAAAATAAATCATCTGATTTTGGTGGATTGGCATGGGCATTTAACCTCCTGCTGCAGAACAAAGTGAATTTCTGGGGCTTTGTTTACATTTTACTTTTTGGCTTCAAGTTACAGTTGACTAGAGAATTAAAAAAGAATAAAAAGTAAATAAATACATATTTTTGAAGCACTAATCATTAATTGCCGTATTCAATAATCAAAATTAGCTGCTGCCTGTGTGGGTCAGTAAGTCTTTGTGTGTGGGTTTGTGGTGTTGTGTTCAGGGTCTTCTGTCCAGACTGTCTGATTTGCTGTTGTGCCGCTGGTCATGCCGCTCCTGTTGGCAGTGGTGTTGGGAGTGCAGCTGCTGTCAGTCTTCTGAAGAAGAGGTGGAGATTTTGGGGCCTTTTCCAGCTCAGACTCCATCATGGCTGTAAGTGCACACCCATACAAACCTCAAACAACAGTTACACATCAAAATTAATGCAGAACAGTTCGCCATTCATCAACTTCAGTTCAATTCATTCATCTCATGCTAAAATCCTTCATGTTTTGATGTTGTTCTGGGTTGTCCTGCTAGCTGCACATCATTTACATTTTATTTAGTATTTTTCATAGATATGTATAACTGTGCTGTTTCAATATTATACATGTGCTGCTTTATACAGTTGTTTTAAGAAGACGCTTGATTTAAAAAAAAGGAAAGCATCATTTTCTGTAATACAGTTACAAAGTTTTTATTAAACGATACATAATAATTGTACTGTCACTTTATGTCAATATATTCTATTTGCAATTGAATCCACTTAAATCTCACTTATCAAGTTAATGATAAAGTTTTGTGTAAAAGTTTTTGATTAAAAAAAATGATCAAGGTTATGTTCAGTATGAAAATAGCAGTTGGCATGAACTGTAATATACTAACGATGTGATAATCTATGGTGTTCTGGGTTCACCTGCTAGCTGCACATCATTTACACTCTATTTAGTATTTTAAACAGATATGTATAACCGTACTGTTTCAATAATATACATGTGCTGCAATTTACAGTTCTTTTTTTAAGAAGACATTTGATTTAATAAAAGAAAAGCATAATATTCTGTAATACAATTACAAAGTTTTCACTTTATTCTGATGTGTTTCATATAGATATTATTATTCATGATGTAATTTTCTAAATGCCACCAAATGTCAGTTTCAGTCATTTTTAATCATTTCTAAATAACAGTATAAATTTCTTTGAAACAAGCAAATAAAAAAAAAAAAAATTATTCCTAACCCCTAACTGTTTTACAGTATTCTCTAAACCAGAGATGCCCATAGTAGAGCCCGCGGACCAAAGTTGACCCACGGTAACCTTTGATTGGCCTACCACCCTATCTGAAACAAGAGTGGGAATGATGGGGATGTGGTTTGGGTGAATGCCTTTGATAGACATTGTTATTTTGATTTTAACATAACCTTTTGTTTTATTGCTGAACTACAAAACAGTTAAAACAGCTAGCCGGCAGCTAGCTCTCTGAACTCTCACATGATCACCCACTGAAGCTATGCATGGCTGCGTCCGGTCAGTACCTGGATGGGAGACCACATGGAAAAGCTAGGTTTCTACTGGAAATGGTGTTAGTGAGGTCTGTGTGGGTCCTAACGCCCCAGTATAGTGACGGGGACTCTATACTGCTCAGGGAGCGCCATCTTACGGATGTTTTAAACCGAGGTCCTGACTTTCTGTGGTCATTAAAAATCCCAGGATGTCCATCGAAAAAAGAGTAGGGGTTTAACCCCGGCATCCTGGCCAGATCTGCCCAACGGCCTCTGTCCATCATGGCCTCCTAACCCTCCCCATATCAGAATTGGATTCAACACTCTGTCTCCTCTCCACCAATCAGCTGGTGCAAAATGGCTGCTGTCGTGTCATCCAGGTGGATGCTGCACACTGGTGTCCCACCAGTCCCACCAATTTGCGTAAATCTCTTTGAGTGCCCAGAAAAGCGCTATCTAAATGTATGGAATTATTTTTATTATTATTATCATCAACTGAAATTAAATCTTTTAATGAAATGTTGTTAATAATTCAGACTTAAAATGTAAAAACTTTCAGACATCGAAGACATCAGAGAGCAAATCAAGGCAAAGGCAGGAGCAGGTGGACTAGTGTTTTCATTGTGTCAACTCCATTGTGATAAAATTAAGTTTGTTAATGTTTTCACTGTAATAAAAAGCTTATTGTAAAATGACAAACATTATACTGCATTAGTTAATATGATTTAAAGCTAAGTTTTCTTGTTATTTTTAAATATTAGCAAATAAATTAGGAGATAAGCCATAGCAAATTTGATGTTATATGATATGATATATTCGGTTTGGTATATATTTGGCCCACATCCCTTGATCAAGTTTGGTTTTTAGCCCTTTATAAGAAAAAATTTGTATATACAATATATATTAACTGTATTATTGTCACTTTATGTCAATATATTCTATGTGTAATTCAATTCCCTTAAATCCCATTTATCCAGTTGATGGTTAAGTTTTGTAAAAATGTTTGATTAAAAAAAATTGATCAAGGTTATGTTCAGTATAAATAGAGTAGTTTGCATGAACTGTAGTACACTAACAGTACTGTCAAGTTACCCATTGCATTCCATGTTTAATTCTGCATGTGGTATCAGAAATTAGAACTGTTATTTTGTCATTTAAACTTCAACATAACTTTATATTTGCTGAAATATTATTTATCATTGCTGCATTCATTAATTTTAAGTAATATACTGTAAGAGATACTGATGCACCAGATGGCTTTCTTGACTCTCTAGGAACCCGAAGCTTATAATGACTTGGGTGTGGAGCTATTTGTGTTTCCAGGCAGGAACAGCAAGGATAATATGATTTAAATGGACAAGTGACTCATGTATTAGCAGCAATAATTTGTCCTCTGGATGCACACAGTCACCACAGGCTGTCAAGCTTTTTGTAATGACATCATTCGATGACTTTTAAGGACTAAACAATGTTGGCCATACAGTACATGTGTATTTTTCCGTTATAAATACATGTCATTACCAATCAGCAGTTTGCTTTCATGAAAAGTCATTCACACTTGTTTAAGGAATGGAGTTGATGTTGTCACCAGAGACTGCTGGCTTATGCTGGTTTGACTGAGCTCATGCTGATGTGTGGTTATTGAAGGTTTTTGTAAAGCTGAAAACAGGGACCACATGGCTGGAAGGGTTGAAGGATGTTTGATTTTGAATTTGTGATCATATATTAGTGTTTGATTCTCTGCGCATCGTGGAACTCCAACTGTAAAAAGTTTTCCAATATTTTTGCAAAAATAACTGTATTTTGTAAATGTAAGCATTTTTAACTACAGACATCCCATGAAATATATCATCTTGATAGAAGTATACAGTGCTCAGCATGATTGAGTACACCCCATTTTGAAAAGGAATATTTTTCTTCATTTCTCAGTGAATATAGATGATGTAATTTGGTGCATTTAAACAAAACAGATTCATTAAACAGATTTATTCATTAAAATTATATTTTTGCCACCAAACATATGTAGAATTTGAAAGAAAATACAATTAAACTCAAGTTAAATATTGCAAAAAGAAATGACAACCTACAAGATTTCGACCACATTTAAAAAAAAAAAAAATTGCTTCTCTTGATTTTTTTCTCTTTTTTTTATTTGTATTTAATATTTTTCTATAACATATACATTTGGGTGTACTAGTTTTTGGATTTTTATTGTAAGTTATTTTGTTAGATAAGCTCCAGACTTGACTTCAGTACTGACTAATCTAATGTATAATATAAATATAAATATAATATTGTATAGCTTCCTATTAAAAATATGATAATAGGAAAATAGGAAAAATAGATAAATTTGTGAGGGTTGTACAAATATATGCTGAGCACTGTAGGTGGCTCCATGTCAACCTTTGCCTATTGCTCTGCTGCTCCACATAGACATCAACAGGTGTTTGCTTTGCATGCTTATGAATGTTACTCATGGATGCTCTATTTTGTGTTTAGCTCATCTGGACTCAAATGTGGGCACACATTTACACTTTTTTTCTGTTTCTGTGTCTAAAATGAGTCCTTTAAATTTCCTCAATCTTTTCACAGTATCGTTCACAGTATCGTATGGTAGTTTATTGAACCTTTTTTTTTTTTTGCAGTTTTACAAATGGGATTTTTGATTTGTTTGACAACTTTTGGCACAAAATTTTGGGTGCAAAGGCTGTCTGACAAAGACTTTTAATACAAAAACATAAAACTCTTAAGGGTGGTGCCGTGGCGCAGTGGGTAATACTGCCTAATCACAGCAAGATAGCTGCTTTGAGCCCTGTGTTTGCGTGGGCTTCCTCCAGGTTCCCCGGTTTCCCCCACAAGTCTAAAGACATACGCTATAGGTGAATTGTGTAAGCTAAATTGTCCGAAGTGATTGTGAATGTATTGGTGTTTCCTAGAGATAGATTACAGCTGGAAGGACATCTTCTGCATAAAACATTTGCTGCATAAGTTGGCGGTCCTTTCCGCTCTGGCGACACCTGATTGATAAAGGAACACTCTTGTATTAGCAGTAGTAGTCAGTTCACCTGTTTATTGTGGACTGTAAATTATTTAATTTAGCTGTTATTTAACTGTTGCATTTTTTATTTAGCCTCTGATCCCAGTTTTTGGAGTGAGCTGCAGCCATAAAAATCTGTTTAATTTGTTTATGTTTTTAGCATATATATATATATATATATATATATATATATATATATATATATATATATATATATATATATATATATATATATATATATATATATATATATATATATATATATATAT